GAGAGAAATTTTAGTGATAGATTCTATGGAAATTAGACGAAAATGGAAAAATTGGCAAACTTCCATATTTAACTGCAAACAGAATGCCATTGCAAGTTTGTATCGATGTTAACTGCACCAAATTTTCTAAAAAGCACAAGTATCTATGAAAGAATTCAATTAAACAATTAATTAATTCTGAAATTCTTAGTAATCTAGTTTAAGTACTGTCCTACAAATCGATTACATGAAAATATGAATTTCTGAAGATTACACAATCAAAAGAATTTCGAATTCACCTCTACAAGAAAATACTATAAAAGCATTCCTTTCAGTCATTGATATTATTTTTAACAAAGAGATCATTGAATAAGAAAAAAGCACACACTATGATAATAATCATCAGAAAAGCAAATAATTAATTCACTGAAAATAACATACAAATTGTTTGTTGCACATCAACATTGTGAGCATTACCCGATAACCATTTGTCCACACATCACGATATCTTAAAATGTAAATTACCAGGAAAGTCTGTTGATGACCAGAATATGGTATTCCTCCATCAGAAACATGGTAGTAGAGAAGAAATCGGTTTCAATAACTGATCCCAACTACCTCCATTTAGAACCACCAAGTTTGATCACCTCCTCAGTACCACTGGGCTTGATAGGACCCTTTTCATTGCCTGCATCTGCCTTTTGATTGTTCAAGTCACCATATAGATCCCTAAGCTTGGCCAAATTACTGGATACAGACGTCTTTTCCTTGCTTCCATCCATAGCGGGACTTGGACGATGCTGAGTGCGTCTGCTAGGTTCATGCAAGCTTTCACTCCTGCTCCTGCTCCTGCTCCTGCTCCNTTTTTTCATATGTATATGTATCCTTTATTGTTCTTATTATTAATTTTTCTAATATTTGTTCTTTTATTTCTTCAGGTAAATCTTTAACTATTGTTAATGTCATTATTTTTAATTTATTAGAAATATGTTTTAAAAAATGTCATTATTTTTAATTTATTAGAAATATGTTTTAAAAATATATAACTTCCTTTTCCTTCTTCTAATTTATAATAAGTATCTATTTTTCTTATTTTAATTTGCATGATCTCTATGACTCTGATACTAATTAGGAGGCCTACTTAGAGCGAACAAAAGTCAAATAAATCAAAAAATCGAATAAATCTATAAACAATAAATCTATCAAGTAATATTTAATTTTAAGGACTAAAATGCAGGATTTCTATATTATATTAGCTTGTTATGCAATATTCAAAAGGAGGGGTATTTTAGGTATATTTATATAATAAAATTGGTGAAGTGTCATTTTGGAAAAATAGCCTCTTTATTTAGGTTATTTTCATGTATTTCCCACTCAGTTGCTCATCATACTGGAATTAGGACATTGCTGAGTTAATCGTTCCAATAGTTACTGAACTTAGGTCCATGTCCTTGATTGACCACTGAACTTTAAAATATCGAGTTTTGGTCATTAAATTTAGATTCATGTCTTTGATTGACTACTAAAATTTAAAATGTCGAGTTTTGGTCACTAAATTTAGATCCATGCCCTTAATTGCTCACTGAAATTTAAAATATAGAGTTTTGGTCACTAAACTTTGAAAAATATTGTACATTACTCATTAAACTTTGAAAAACGTTGTATATTGTTTACTGTAAACTCGATATTTTTCAAAATTCAACAGTTATGCTAGTGAGTAACGTATGGCATATCCAGAGTTCAGTGGCCAAAACTAGACATTTTAAATTTAAGTGAGCAATCTAAGATATGAACCTAAGTTTAGTGAGCAATTGAAGACAATGACCAAAACTCGATATTTTAAATTTCAATGACCAATCAAAGACATGGACCTAAGTTCAGTAATCAAAACTCAACATTTTAAAGTTTAGTGGCTAATCAAAGACATGGACCTAAGTTCAGTGACCATTGGAACAATTAACTCGACATTGCTCTAATGTAAAATTTAATAGATCAAAACTCATTTACAACTACGCTGAGTATACCTAGGCAAACCCAAGATCAAGTAAGAAAAACATGTACACCAAACATATCTGAGTAAACAAAAATAAGATGTACAAACGATCGTCTAATGACCTTCAGCTAAGGATTCAAACCGGATCAAAACATTTGGATACAAATAAACATAACATTGTATACGTGTGTTTTAGTCCTTACAATAGAATCGACTTCTGTTCTAAGATTTTCAAAAATATTTATATTCCTTGTCATCCAAATGTAGTAGACGGTGATAGCAAGTGCCATAAACTTAGCTTTTCTTTGCCAACTTGTTCCTCGGCCTTCCTTTCTAATCCACTTCAACGAACTCAACAAGGTTGACATGTTGCGTCTAATAGCCAGCCAACAACGAAATTGCTCCTATATAGCTTTGCTGAATGGACAAGAAAAAATAGGTGTTGTGCTGTCTCCTTCGTTCACCCACGATAAGAATAGTTTCGATCCAAGTCTAAGTGCCGTAACCTCTCTTTCGTTTGCAATTTGTCCAGCAATCCCAGCCAAAGCATGTGTCCAGCTATACAACCTGTTTGCAGCTGCTTGAATCGTGCCCTCTTGCTCAATGATTTTTCCCTGATTTCTAGCACTTTTTTAAGCAATGGGGAGTCACCTTTCTTCTTCATATATTCCCAAATGTCAATGCCACGGAGATGGAACAAATTCACCCATTTTATCCGACGAGAATCCTTTTTATTGTGGATGTTCCATAGTGTTTTGGAAAGTAAAGTAATGTTGCAGCTTTTGATGTTTCTCAAGCCAAGGCCACCTTCAAGCTTTGACAAGCAAATGTGATTCCAAGACACCAATGGTTTCTTGAACCCCCAAAGGAACTTACGGCACAAACTCATAATTTTAGAAACAATCAATGATAGACGTACTTGAGATAGAATTAAATTTCACGGGTCAACAAACAAAATTCAAGACCATAATTGTACAATCAAGTCCTATACAGCTCTCTGACCATGGCTTCTTACCACTAAGGAAAATTTTGCAAATTACTGAAAGAAATATTCCCAGAGCTACTTATATCCTTGCATCTTATTATCAAAGACCATGTCAAGTCTAAAGCCTCAACCCCAGCATTAAATAAATGATTAGAAAAGATAACTAATACATGTATAACTGCATTTGGAAGTAAAACAAGATTTTTTGTCAATTCAGGTCTTATCACACAAGCAGTTCACTTTTACGAGAATCATGTTGATGACCACTGACAAACTGTGAAACCCTTCCATCCTGAGCCATCAGGAGAATCACAGAACAGAAGATTCGTGAATCATATGCAAATTCTGTCCACACATAACCCATAGAGAAAGATGGCAATGTCACTAGAAGGCAAAGAAAGATAGGGCAGTAACTAAAACCTGGCATGAAATTAACATCAAGAGAAACAGTACAACCTAACAGTGGTAGCAGGTCAAGAATGGACTTCTATGATGCATATGATTGTGTAATTCCACTGATGTGTTTGATTATCTTGCCAAATATCAATTAATGCAATCATGCAAAACATGTAGGCACAATACCCTATTAATGAAGGGGAACATGCCAAAAGTGTAACGGTGGATGAAAATAGAAAGAAATGAGTACAATTTAAGACAGCAATGTTCCTTCCAGATCTCACTATTTGACTACAATAGTCATATACCTTCACTAGATGTTACAACTATAAACCACATCACCAGTAAGCAATTCATCTCATTTGACTTCATTATCAATATTTTCCTTCAAAGGCAATTCCAACTTAAAGAATGCTGTCCATTCTGCTTCATGCAAGGCCACAGAATATGTCATATTAATATTATTACTTCAAATAAGAGAACTCCTCAAATTAAAACTTAAAATAATAAAAATCATTCAGGCAACCTTTTATACCTCGTCATCTTTTAAATATGGTTCATACCAACTCCACAATGTCTTTGGATCTGCAACATATCTTAAGTAGAGAAACCCAATCTGCAAAGTCAATGTACAATTAGCCCTCCACATCATATGCTTGTTCCCAGTACTAAATAAATTGACCATACAAAATCAGAATAGGTAATAGATTGGGTACACATGCAAGTGATGCCCTAAATTAATACCCACAACCGAGAAGCATGTTATAAACCCTAGCTCGAAGCCCAAGTCCATGTAAAGCATTGTATAGGTAAATTATACCTATTTCCAACTTCAATGCTCAGGGAACTGACCAAATACGTTATACCTATACAAATTCTCAGAACTAGAAACAAAGCAGAAGCATAAATCCAAGAGGTTATTTAAACTATATTTCACACTATGTTGTTGGTAATAAAATTATCTGATGGAATCCCTCAAAGTACACAGCGAACATGAACAAGCATCAGATATACCCCTATGATGAACTAAACACTATTACTCTTATCCCCAGACACTATTTTGAATTTGCTGTTCGTATCCAGATGACTCAATAGTAAAGAGTCTGTCGTACAATAAAAAACATAAAGAAAAATATCGTGCTAAGACTCTACTTACAGCTCTGATGTAAGGAGAATCTGGGTGCTTCAACAACCCATGCATTTGCTTCACAGTAAGTTTCATAGTGAAGAATTTGTAGAGAAGGCAGATTGCAGTTGAAGGGCCCCTACAGTTTCCAGTCATCCATGGCTCCACATGGGTGGCAGTAACATATATCTCATCAATCACTTCATGGTAAGTTTTCAATCTCAAAAGGTCTCGAAAGTAATCTGAAGAAAGTATATTCATGCACAGGACCTTCTCCAATAATTGATCAATTGGTCTCCCAGAAGTCTTTATCTCAGACATTGTGTATCATCAATGCACTAACCCACCATTAAAATGTAAAAAATAGAATACTAATTATTATCTGAGAGAAAAAATGATATTCTAAACTAGAATTATATCCCTACACACACATAGAAAGAAGGAATTTTTAGGAGAAGCCCGTCATTTTACTGCTACAATAAGGGGCAAAAACATATGATAAATCAGTAACTAAAATAATTAGAAATTCAAGTTTAAGAGAAATAACCAAATTTCTTTCTTCTAATGAGATTATTTCAGTGTTTCCAAATGTGACTTGAACTAAAGATGAGCTAAAAAAAATAGCGCATGAAATCAATTTTTTTTTCTACACAATATTTTGTTTAATTTAAATTTTCCAAAGTGTGTCATTTTCCAACCCCAAGTCACAAAAAAAATTTTTAAAAAAAATCTGCAAATTAAATCCTATATTCGAAATAGATCCATTCAAGAAAGGAAATTCTGAAAGTCAAGTAGAAATTTATCAATATTTGCCCGAAATTGTTATAAGGTCAATTTTTTTTTCCCCCATCAAGAAACGGCATGTGATTTAATAAAAGAAACAAGGAACACGATACTTGAAGGTTTAATTTGAGAGGGGGATTTTCTTTTCTTTATCTTTTTGAAGCTTTCTTACCTTAAATCGACGAAAGGAGAGCAAGAAGATTGTTGGATACAGCGAACCCTCGGAGGATTTGGGAATCTTCAGAGTTGGACAAACAAATGTGTATCATAAACTTTTGAAATGGACCCTCGAGTCCGAACCCCGTTTCTTTCCTTTTAGTAAAATAGAGCAGTCCACATGAAACGAATACATTGTCCATGTGGTTCAAAGATAGGGAAATAGCGGTATAGCACATGAAACATGTCACGTTTGGCTAAGCTTTAAAGTTACTTTTCTAAACTCCTGTTTGATAGATATTGTTGCGTTTCTGACAACGAGTCATTAGGTCATCAACACATGTCATACTCCAAGGCGCCGAAATGCTAAAGCAGTATAGCAGCATGGTATGAGGCAAATGTTCGAAGTGGTTAATGTCAACACGAACAAAATCTAGAGCATCTAGGTAGATAGCAAATATCTGAAGTAGTTAGTATCAGCATGAACAAGGCCAAGTTGCATCAGCTAGAAGACATGCCTGCTGGTTGGCAATCGATGTTTCGCATAAGATACGAATCTTTTAAGCAAAGATTTGTTCAAGATATTTAGAATTACTATTTCTCCTCCCCTCTTGAGATAATATAGAAAGTTCAACAGTTTCCACTATCGAAATTAGTTGTGTACAATTACAGTTGATTTACTTGAACGTCGGAGTCCTCGTGGTCGCAACCACCACCGCTAGGAATGGCCAGAGATTGACCATTTGTGTCAAGTGTGCAAGGAGGAATATACGTGAAGTTGTTCCCAGTTGGCCACGTGGAGGTCCATTTTCCAAGGTCAATAGATATTAATATAAAAATTTTAATAAAATTTTGATAAAAATTGATAAACTATGTGGTTGGAAAATCGCGGGACCTATAAAATATGTAATTAAAACTAATTGTTAACTTTGACTTGAATTAAGAATTGAATTTCAATCTCTATCAAGCAAGGACTAAGTAACTTCTTTCCCCATACATTTTTCATGGTTTGGAAGTTGCCCATTTTTTAATTTTTATAAAATCTTTCTTGATGTGGTTTACTTAAAAAAAAAAAGTACTTTTAGTGAAGCTTAGCCTAACATGCTGCAATACATCAAATATCTTCATTCTTAGAGGCTAGAATCAATTTGAGGATGGATACTAATAGGATATTGAGCTCTCAGAGGACGAATATTAATAGTACATTGGGCTCTCTCGACAATGCCTATTGAACAAAATTCCATTATTAAGTCTTGCATTAACAGAGGATGACAATTAAGAGGAGATTGAGCTCTTTGAAGATGGATATTAATATCGTCTTTATTGTGATCCTCTGTTTAATAAAAGATGTTGTTTTGACCATTAAACACGGAGTTATAAAGTAGTTCGAGAATGAGTTGAAAATAAAAACTAAAAGGTAACTTTGCACTTATCTCGAGGTTCCTTTCGTTGGGAAACACCACATCGATCTTCAGGTTCAGACTACGTCTTACCATGCCTAGTGTGCAATGTAATTTGTGTTGGTAAATTCCCGCGTTATCACCTTCCACCATACACACTTGGTGAAGATCGAAGCCAGGGCATTATAAGATAAATTCTTCATTTGTCTCATCAACTCCTCATTTGTACCATTGAAACCTTATAGCGAGTTCTTTTCATTTTTTTTCTAGGGATTAAGGTACCATCTCCTCTTTCTTATAGAAATGCCAAAATTCTTTTTGTTCGAAGTGTTCAAAATCCGTTAATCATTTGAACACGAGCTCAAGTTCTTCAAAAAGTCAACTTGGAAGAGACGATGGAGGTAGGACTTTATTTTGGCCATCGCAAAATGGCATCTTGTATCTCTACAAAGTATAAAGGTATTCATATTACAAATCTTACTAGAACTTCTTGTTTTTTTGAGTACTTCATGCGAGTTCACAAGCAAATCAAAATGTCTAACATTGTTCTTATTGTGGAGGATATCCTTTTAGGTATATAGTTTGCTTCTTTCTATTAGCGAAAGTAATAATGGAAACCTAAATGCTGTTAGGTAAAAGGATGAAACTTATTGTTACATATTATAATGGTTGAAGAACATAGTTATAGTTTTTTTCTTTCTTGTATTAATTTCAATGTTGTTACTTTTTGTAGTTCAAATTTTCGATACCTCTATCGCAGTAATAAATTATAATACTGAAGAGCAAGTCGAATGTGGATGGCGCTTTGTGCCCCAAGCAAAAAGATGGTACTAGCTCTACCTTGACATCGTGAGGAAAGCAAATTCCTCTGATGGAAAGTCTACCGTTGATCCGAGATTGGAACTCTTCTTGTCTTTCATTTTAACCTTAAGTTCACAATGTTCATCGAGACTTGGGATGTGTTTAGGGATGACAATTTGACCTGAAAAATTCAAATCTTTTGTATTTGCTGATGACTTGTTGGCTTCTTATTCGAATTTAGGGGATAAATCCAAATAAAAGAGGTGAAGTCATCTGTGAAGTCGATGTAGTACTCGAAATCAAATGTGGAAGTACAAATTAGTGTAGATTAATCTAGTTGTTTTGACGCATGTCGAAAGGAATAATATCTTGAAGTAGAAACATTGATTGGACAAAGAATTAGTTGATGTCATAAATTTAGGATGAAACATGATCGTCTGTGGTTAATTCTTTCTTTGAATGAAAAGAAACTCAATTAGAATCCGATTCCATTTATTCCTTGCAACTCACAACTAATTAAAGTACAAAATTCATAGAACCGAAGATAGGAATGAACACTCAGAACAGAATTAAATGGTCGAAGCATTTCTTCTTTATACACAAGTTAGTCAGTCGCATCCATGCCTTAAATGTGTTAAAACACTGTAATATGTTTTTATCTGCAGGAGATGAAGCTGGAGTTCTTGCGGTAAAAACTTGGCTCTCGTGGAACTGTCAAAGGCCTTGTTGATCTGGAAAATAAATTATTGAAACTGTTTTAGAACTTGAACACGATCAAATTTACTGATGGATGTTTTCCAAATTGTAATCTTGTCCATCGTTTTTATACTTTTTGGCTATAAGAGGGTCGTGATTTATCTTTACAAGAAGTTAGAAGTGGGTGAGTCTTGTCCATCGTTTTTATACTTTTTGGCTATAAGAGGGTCGTGATTTATCTTTACAAGAAGTTAGAAGTGGGTGAGATATAATTAGTTTCCGTTTGACAAGCATCCGTGAAAGATTCCTTAGGTCAACTTTCTATAAAAGTTCTTCTGATCAAATAAGACACTTTCAAAAAATTATCTAAATAAGTTTAAAACCAGCTTCTTAATCTCAAAAGCAACTTTTGACTCATTAAAAATTCTTGCCAAATGCTCCTAGTTCTAAATAAAGTCTCTTGATGTGATCGAAGATATGATCATTTTTAATCTTCCAACATATGTAGCCACGAATTGGAGCCGGGGCAAAAAGATTCACATGGACTACTCCAAATTTAATGGAAATAAGGCTTCGTTTGTCTATTTTGTTGTGGACATTTCTTTCATATAATTATAATACCTTTGTGGGAAGAAGGGTCTATCAAAAAAAGGCATCAACTGAGCTCTTGGAATCATTTCTTTTCTCAGCATCTTAACCTCTTCCTCCTCTATTACCTGCTTCAAATCAAACATATTGTTACCTTCAACTGATTCTTAAGACCATGTTCAATTGTGTCTGTTTATGTACCTTTAGCAGCTTCTCTACTTGCCTCTTCTGTTGCTCTATGATACACAGCTTGATTGCAACCTGTATTAGTTCCGGAAGTACACAAAGATACACACATCAATATTTTTCCCTGAGCTCTTTGGACAGGCCAGCGCGTGTGGCACACGTGCACTGCTTATCAAACGAACTGTGATTCTCAATGCACTAGATCCGATACAGTAAAATCTGTGCTTTATTGCAATAAAAAGGTTTCAGATTAATGGTGTACGTACTGTAGAATTGAACAATGCACGTCGGGCTGCTCTTTCTTCAGTGTGGAGCTTGATATCCAATTGTTTGCTGTTTTCTTTTATTGGAGGCTTTTGAAGAACCTACAGACGAATGTTTTAAGTTTCTTGATATAATGTGAAAGAGATATTGCGTAACTATAACTAATTGTACTCAAACCAATTCTTTTTGAAAAAATTGTAATATAATTGGATTTTAATTGGTTCCTTGCAAGTCAAATTATGATAATATGTGAAAGAACATTTGAACTGCTATGAGCACCTTATGAAAGAACTACTCGTAATGAATTTTAATCTACTTGGACGTGTTTGGTGCATACTACTCAACATGACTGGACTCTAATGAATTTTTTATTTTTTTTTATTTTTATTGCTGTCAAATAAATCACGTAAAGCGTGGTTTCTTGATGAGCAGTCTCTCTCATTTATTACGTAAACAATCATAAAACCTACCACAGAATGGCTGCTGAAGGGTCGTCGAGGAGGGCTGTTCTTTGCACCTTTAGTACTTGATGGAGCTGCAGGCTGTGAACTAGTACTCTTCACAAACTTAAAAAAGTAAGAAAAAAAATTTATTGCAAGTGTTTGATGGTAAAATCTTTGAGGCTAAAAGAAGAAAATTAAGAACAATGGGTAATGTTATTAATACTGACCTTTTGAGAAGATTTCCTGTTTGGGCTTTCCATCATCACTCCTTAAACTATGGCTTAATTAGTGTAACTACTGATCAAGCTGAAGTATATATAAAGATATATTTATTATGGGGTTTGGAGATTTGTGAGGAATCACTTGCTGTTGCTCCATTACCAGCCTCTTCAGGGCCCTTTTTTTACCAAACTTTCTGATTAAATCTCCCTCTCATATACACAATTCAGATAATTTGTTCAACTGTTCACTTTACTTGGATTAAAAAAGCAAAAAGAAACAATACTGAATAGCTAATCATAACTAGACTTGATTCAGTGGGAGTTTTGAGTGGTGTCTTCTGTTCTAAGTCATGAGTAAATACATATGCCTTCATATAGTTTGGGCTCCTAGAACATGGCACCCTAGGGATGCGGGCTTTACGCAATCGATCAGATTAGATACAAAAAAGGTTGTGATAAGAAATGCTAAATCTTTTTATTTATTTAATCATCAGGGAGTGCAGAATCAAATAAGAATGGAATGCGTTGGGGCACAATAGTTGACTAGACATCTAAGGTTGCATTTGATGAAAACTCGATCAATTGCTTATTGTAGTGTTTGCAAAGGGACTTTTACAGCTTTAGTTCTATATAAGGATAGAGCCTGACTAGAGCGAAAAAGGGGAGTTTATAGTAGTTGTACTTTTGTTGGAGAGCCACTCTTTTCATTGAGGCTTATCATAAAGTATCTATTTATGTAAAAAAAAATAATAATAATAATAATAAATAAATAAATAAAGAAAAGAAAGCTCATTCTAATTTTCTTTCTAGAATGACTCCAATTGCTTATTGTTGTGTTTGCAAATGTTATTTGAATCATTTTTATGGCTGAAGAACCTCCAGCTAATTAGGAAAAACAACTGCATGTACCAATAGTGCTGAGCATCGGTCCAAGTTCTACATTCGAATATGTTTAGCATGGTGGATTGTAAACTTAAAGAAAAGTGAAGCGTGACAAAATTTGAGAGTCAACTTGTTATTGATCCAGTTTCGCTCTATCAAAGATGCATAGGTGCACATGTGATAATTTGTCGAATTTTTATAGTTTTAATCTAATTTTGTATGTGGAGTTTAAAGCTATTATTACTTTCTTTCTTCCTATACATGATCCAAGTAGTTCTACTTGTATTATGCTTTATCAACTCAGTCAAAACATGATTATGAACATGTACCTTTTAAGTTTAGCCAAACATGTATATTTTCAACTACACGCACATAAAATAGAAATGTACAAAAAATACCTTAGGAATGTTGGTCGTGATTGGATTAAGCTAGATAAGACAACAATGTAAAGATCTAATTTATCTTACATTACTCGGGAAAGATTTATCTTGTAAATTTATAAGCACTTTGGACACCCTCTCTCAACAAGCTAATTATAAGGATACAATAGGTATCAAAGCAGACAACCCATCTTGGAGGACCCTCGTTGAGAATAGTACAAATTGAGTAGAGTTAATTCCAATAGAAGTTTGCTCACGTGGAGTTACCCAACTGGACAAAATGGGCTGCTATATGGACGTCGGTCACGAAGATGCGTGGAATAAATTACTTTATATCGCTCGTGAAAGGTCTGCTTTGTGGCTTTATAAGCAAATTTGGACACTCTCTCCACTTATAAGTCAATTTTAAAAGTGAATTCAAACTATAGTGGTTTGTTGCAATGATAATTTTAATTACATGATGCTCTTCTTTACTAATATCAATAAATCATATTAGTCCCACATGTCGACCATTCTTTAAACTTTATAACAAAAGCAGACAATCATGAACCTACTTCGATTGAGTAGCGTGGAGTGGGTAGGGAAAATCACGTCACTTTTCTTTTCGACATAATCACAGATTTAATGATGATTTAGCTGTAAACTCAACATATAATCAATGATTTCTTGTTAAGACTGTTATTTTAATTAGAAAGTGGAAGGTAATCTTTCATTTCTGGGCAGTTCTTGGCTTCTTATCAAATGATATAGTTATTAATATAATAGTTAGGTTATGATTCGAGTAGTAACCTACCTGTGAAAACATCAAATTCTTATGTTTCAAGCTAGTAAACAACTCATCAGATCTGTTGCTGCTTCATTAGCATCTCTTATCCTGTTCTTGTGAAGCATTTGACGTGTAGCTCTATACGCAACGTGTCACAGATAGAACTCGAGTAAATAACACTAAATTTTTTTATTTTTTTTTTTTGGTTACCAATATCGATTTTATAAAAGATGCCAACAATTTTATCCCCTATATTTATTTAATAGAAAAAAGATAAAATATTACCATTCTTAGATGATGGTGCCTCAAGTTCATACATTCAAGACTTGCTATTGGACGAGATTAACATCTTCAGTAAATACAAACTGCAGTCTTTAATACTACTCTAAAAATGTATCCTTTGATGTCCAGAAGAACCTCTACTTTCGCTGTGGAAAATATTCGTGATAACATAACAGAAACAGCACTAATTTTCTTCAGAAACCTTGAAAAATGTGTAAGACAGAATCAAGTTGTTGATACCGTCCATTCTAGGATCTGTTTCAAACTCAGGGTCTATATAAAAGAAGACCTGCAGATCAAAAGTATAATCATGTATCAAGATTCCAGGAGCAACGCAACTTGGACTAGAAATTGAGACGACAACACTTACAGGCATGTCGATCTGCTCTCCAGGAAGAAGTCGCTGCTCTTCAAAACAGAAGCATTGTATTTTGTTGAAGTAAACTGCAGCCTGAAGAAGTAATGTGAATCAATTCTTTGCTTTCCCGAGGTCATAAATCAAAATACAATAATTTATATGGAGGATAAAGTTCAATGGATGAAATTAATATATTGATGCATCATGCAGCGGCAATGAAGAACTAAACGGATACTACATATACGAAACAAATGCAACAAAGGGACCTAATTGTACAAAGGCGTGACACAACAAGATTCTTAACACGAGCAACCCACAAGCGCACAATAATGCACACGTGAACACATGCTGCCAAACTGATATAAACACAAAAGACAGCATGAAACGACCACTAAACCCTGAACTAGCAAGGTATAAATATTTCAATTTTTTGATTTCGACAACAAACTTCAAGAAAACATGAAAGGGTGGTGTCGGGGCCTTTTTCTGCAAGGAGGTGGTCATTAAATTCGCTGTCCAAGTAACGCCAACATACCTCATGAGCTTATTCCGACTTCCGCTATCTTTATGCCGGAATATTTAAGCCATTATCCAGTAGTTTTGGTGGGGTGGAGAGGCGGCTTCTGGAAATATTAATTTGGTGCGCTGGGATCAGGTTTTCTGGTCTAAGTCTGTTAGAGGGCTGGGTTTTAGGGACAAGGAATCTTTAGATAAAGCCATCATCACAATACAAGCATGGGTCAGAGTTTCCCAATGACACAGTTAACGGGAGTAACTTGGCAGTTTGGAAAAGCATCTTGTGGGACGAGAGCTCCTGCAGTGTGTCAGTTGGGTGATGGACGGTTAATCAGAATATGTTCCGATTCATGGCTACACGATCTGACTCTTTTAAGCCATATTCAAATGCCTCATGTGAAGTCTCTACAGTATGCAATTTATTCCTGGCGGCAGGAGTTTGGGATGCTGAGAACATTGAGAGGGTTTTTGCTCCAGTGGAGAGTGCAGTGGTAATGTCTATCCCTCTTGTTAGAGGGCTCCGCCTAAATAAATTAATTTGGCATTATGAGGCAAACTGTGTTTATTCAGTTTAAGAGTAGATATAGGCTGTTGACATGGTGCATGTTGCAAGATGAAAGCACCAATCTGAATTTGCATGACTAGTGGAATTTGGCTTGGACAGCACTTGCACCCCCAATGGTTCGTATTTTTCTTTGGCGAGTTTTCTACAAACCTCTTCCTTCTTCATTGAACCTTGCTAGACATGGAGTGCGGATGAGTAGTGGGTGTGGACAGCTTGGCTTGCTGGTGGATTCATCATTATAGGTGCCAGCCTTGAAGTTTAAACAAAAGGAAGGTTAAAGCCATACAGCTGTTTTGCCTAAATGGCAACCACCATCTGTTGTGTTTCCATTTTGTGTTTTTCCATGGCTGCTATACAATACAAAAATAACAATTCCATTCCCAGCAATATTACAACTAGGTTCATATAGATCTATTACCATTCCACTTCTCTGAAAGTTTACTAATCAGAATCCTATCATATTATAGTGCAGAAAAAAAGAGCTGGTGATCGTAGACTTTATAAGGGGTTTAGATATAACTACACAACATATAACATGATAACAAAATCACTAGACACAGGTTCTTTATCACTCCCTTTCTCCCAACTTCTTAATTTATCTAAGACTAATTTTCTTGACCTGTATTAATTCGAACTAAAAGAAATATCCATTTCAGTGTATCCTCTTCATCTCCCTATTTTACTCTCAAATTATTCTGCGTGGAGTCTTCCTTCCTCATCAAAGTTAAGAGAAACACCCCTTGTTAGGTCAAAGAGGAGATACCATTTCTCGTCACCTCCCAATACAACCACTTATGGGTGACCGTATGGAACCGAAGCATATTCCAAATCCAGCACTTACAGAACATTTCTTTTGTAAGCACAAATCTTATGTAATGAGGGAATAAATCATAACCAACTAATAGGTATTTGAACATTCCCCATCATTGTAGTGTTGTTTCCTATTAAATCTCCTCCCTGCACATCCTCATATGCCATGTTCACCAAATCTATCTGACCATGTTTCTTTGCTGTCCCCAATCTGCAAGAAACCTTTACAAATGAGAATCCTCGCATCAGCACAGTCATCTCACCCTCCATGTCTCAATATTCTTTAAAAGCAGACTGCAGTTAAAAGCCCATCAACTAGCTAGAGTACTTGGTTTACACAAAGTCGTAAGACGATATATGGGGCTGATGCCTGTCCAGCGCTAGAAGGTCAAGGAAGTTGGTGACTTAATGACAAGGGAGCCACCAACTGAAGCCCTATTCACTGGCGGCTGTAACGAGGTCCTTATAAAATCCCAGGGACTGAACTCAGAAATTGCTCGTGACTCCACTAACCCAACTCCTCTCTCGGGCTTCAGATCACAGACCTAAAAGATTGTTTTTTCTCTCTTAATCAAACCCTCTTCACTCTCATACTTCTCATTTCAGCAAGGGTAAATAGGACATTTTCCCTTTGTTAGTTGGAATCTATTTGAATTCACGATCAATGAGACTTTCGCCACCATCATAAAATGGGGCAGAAACGTTGTGAGAGTTTGGGTGGACATGGCCAAGCACTAATAGTAAAGGTGCCATCATATAGGCAGAACATATTTTCCAGACTAGTTGTAGGCTTGTAGCATTGATTCAAACAATTTCATAGAGTTTTTGACTAGGACATGTTGCAGATATTATCCTAACCTATCCATTAAAAAAGAATTATCTAGAAGGATGACCTAGAAGACTGTTTATGATACTCATAAGGTACATCTAAAGATTATGATATGTGGTCTAAGATAAAAGGAATCCTAGAGGTTTAGACTTCAAAAATAATGAAATGTGGCCACAACTATTTGTCTTCATATAAAAAATAAAAAAATAAAAAAGTAAATGTAACAGTTATAAATTCTCTACACATTAACTCCAGTTTTGTGTAGTCAAAGTGTCAAGCAACGGATGGTTTACGTTACCCTCAGATTGAGAACAACATTTCTTGACCATACCAGACAAATGTATGTCACCAATTAGTATACTACCATTCTTAACCTCTGTAAAGGAAGAAAAGAAAAAAGTAATTATGCTGTCATAAGATGATAGACAACTAATCCAGTCAAGTTCATTAAAAAAACAGATTCCTAATACCCAATAAAATATTAGTAATTTTATTGAATCGAACTAAATCAATGCACATAACAAAATCGGTTGAATATCTTAAACTATGCATGCCACTACTGAAGGAAGCCATGAAATTCCACACAAAATTTAACTCTATCACATCCTTTGCAGATTAACTCATTAAAAGAAAATGGCATGAGTAAAGAATGTCTTTCACATCAGGCCCACAAAATGATGTGCATTGGGAATAGCTCAACCTAACTAAACATAGTTAGCCAGATTTTTTAATCCTGAGACGAATAGTTTTGAAAGGAATTTTGAAGAAGTGACAAGAAATATATTGAGAAAATTGAGATTGTTATAGAACAATAAAAATAGCTTTTGAATATTCATACCTTCATTGGAGTAACATTATAAGTAGATACACCAGTTATGGGAGTTGAACTTCGATTTTCAGCAGTGTAAAATGCAAGGGCACTCTCTCCTGGCTTGACCCTCACCTGAAATCAGATACAATAGAATTTTGATTAAACATCCAAAACAAGGTAAGATACCTGCAATGCATTCTGCCAAAACAAACACAAGGTACACAGAAAGGAAAAAATAGACATCTCCGCAGATATGCGCATAACATAAGCACCTCTCTCTGTGTTGGAACAAACTTCCAGGGCATTCCATCAGCCACATCAGCATTGAACTGTACAACAATCTCCCTGTAAGCACAAGACCAAAAGGTCATCCAAACTTGACATACATAATGCAAGATTCACGGATTCTTACTGATACTAAAGCCCTGGGGCCTTGCTTTGTAGAATATGCCTAGAACAATCGAATTAGATTTATCAGATATTGTATATTCTTTGAAGTGTCAAGGCACTCACACTTGTTCATTCAAGTTGAAGAAAATATATTTTTATTTAGACGAACCATCTCTTATAAGAACCATACGCCTGAATTATAGGATGAAAATGGGAAGGAGAACTGAATAATGAGAGGTGAAGCTTCAGGTTGGTTTCCTCCAATCTTCTTTGAGCATCACTTCCATTCTGAGCAACTACCATCTTAATTATACCAAAATTCATAAACAACTCGTTCTGACCTTTTCGATCTTAAATATGAGAACAAGATGGAGAAAATTAGAAAGAGGAAATAGACATGCTTCTATTTGTTCTCCCTCAAAAAATAAATCTTAATATCAGAATTACGTATATTAAAGAGTTTCTTGGAAGTCATTCGCATTTATTGAAGGATAGTGATTATTTTCAATGAAATTTTAGCAGGTAGGTGTATTTCAATCCCAATTCCTGATTATTTCTTGTCATATTTAAGTTTCCTCATATTTCTCTTTTTTAATAAGTAATAGGTTGGGCCCATTTTCACCATCCTTCTTGTCTAAGATCCAAAGAGACCATTCTGGAAATAGATGGAAATCCCTTAAATTATAGATGAATGGAGAATGGCAGAAATTATTATGGTTATTCAAATAATGAAAGCCACACCTGGTCGTGAGTGTTCCATCCTTGGTATGGCGAGCTATCTTTTCTTCAACACTCTATCGCTCCAAGATATTGCATCATTACACATTAATAAATTATCAGAGAAGAATGGAAGCATGGATAAAATCATTCGAGGCTATCTTACCTCACGACGTTGAACAGTGCCTCCATAACCAGTAGCCTGACAAAACCTCCTATATAGAGGAACTGCAGCATAACTGCATCCTACCATTGCAAAAACCAATCCCGTCAAGTACAAAAGCATCTTATTTGATTTCTTTTCTATGGAAGCGTGAGTAGCATATTGCCGACTGAGATTAATAGAGGAAGATGGCCTCTTCACATTATAACCACTCAACTTCACTATATCATTCTCACGCATTGAAATAAATCTCCGATATCCAAAACAGAATTCTCCCCCATATATATTATAGTTACTAGCTCCATAAAAATTGTACCTTGGTGCAACAGCTTGAAGCAGGTGCCTTAATTGAAATCACAATAAACAATATAAATAACTTAATCATCTGCATAAGCATACATAAAAAACCATGGAAATGCTAATATTGTGAGATGTATAATTGAATTTTAAGATTCATGAAGTCAATTACCTGGGCTTAAAGGGTAACTGATGAATTGGTTTGTTAAGGTGAGAAAATAAATGGGTTCCTCTAGAAATCCCGGAAAGTAACATGTTTAGGGAGAACGGATTGAAACTCAGAGATATCAAAATACATTAAAGCATCTGCAAAAACAATAAATCGGCACTCAATTAATTTTCTTTTTCCTGGAAATGGTGAGAGTGCCAAATCATTTTGTATTCTTTAGTTTGTTCATCTACGGATTTATTTTATAATATATATAGACAAGAAATAACTAAAGAAGACCTGCTTTTGATCATCGTCTAGCAGAACTCGTAAACCCCGGCTACTATCACAGAGCGTAGGGTGAGATTTGGATTTTGAAACAAGTTTGAAGCTGAGTGGTGGGGTGGAATTTGGATCCGAATTAACCCTTTTTTTTTTCTTTTTCTTTTTTCGTTTAGAAAAATATAGAAATTTGCTATTAGCCCTCAGTTCTTCCATTAAACAGTTTTATTTTATTTTTTTTATTTTTTTTGGTGGGGAAACGGGGGGGTGGAGAATGACTTTTTGAATAATAAATTTGGGAGAATATATAGTTAAACAGTAAAAAAAAAAATTTGGGTTTATGTGAAAATATTTTATTATAAGAATATATGATTGAAAATGAATATGAAAAAAAATGATGAAAAAGAGTGATTGTTAAATGCGAGATAATTTTTATCTACTTTTTATAACATTTATGAAATATTATGATACTGTGGATTTCTTTTCTTATTTTTTGACAAAGAATCACGAGAATTTTGGATAAGCATATAAATTATTTAAAAATAACATTACATCGATTGGTGGATAAAAATTCAGCTATCTAATCTCCATTAAAAAGAGTTTTTATAAAAATGAGTTTTGAAATAGTGATTTTCATGATGAGTGCGCGGTAAAAAAAAAGGGGGGTTTAATTTTTTGTGCAAAATATTTAATTGTGAAAATGAATAGTAGGGAAAAAATAGAATCTTTAGAGAATGGTAGATAAACGGGCACTTGACTTTAACAAATTAGAAATAATAAAGCTAGTTTTACAATGAATCTCTTCTAGTATTTATACCTAATGAATTTTCATACCCTTATTCTTAAGTGAAATAGAGAAATAAAAATTAAATGACACATCAAGTAAATTATGGAAAGTGCACATGAACACGATATATATTTTAATAAATAAAAAAAAAATATAATATCCTTAATTTTAATTAAAAAGGAGAAATAAAAATTAAATGACACACCACAAACACAAAAAAGATTTTAAATTTTACAAATCCATTTCCTCCCCCTACTCTAATCCAATCATAAAATGATTTTCACTTTTTTAGCACAAATGACCTTCAAGATTCATCACATTGTGTTTGGAATATATCTTCGGGAAAATTGTAATCGAGGTACCAAACCTTTCGTTTATTAGCAGACTTTGTTCAAACCTTTAGTTTATGCCACCGGAGATACCAAACCTTTAAAAAATGAGCATAGCCAGTCCAAAATGACGGTTTTCGTCTGTTTGACAGCCAAACAGACCAAAAACGTCAGTTGACCCCTCTAATGATATTTTCAAGATTTTTCCCCAAATAAGTGAAGGGTAATCTAGGCATTACACACATTTCCCTCCTCAATATCAAACACGTCAGTTACAACTTCATTCCACTCACCATCCATTATGGACCCTGCGAAAATTCACAAAGAAGACGAAACATACGTGAAAGAAGACGAACATCCAGTGGACATTGCAGCCCACATTTGAGGTTCTTTTCCCCAACCCGTGTATGATAAGTGTGTTTCCCTTTTTTCGGTTTATGGTGTGAAGTTCTGTGATTATGAAGTTCCCTGTTCGATTGTCTTCACGTACTGGGAAATTCAAAATTTTTAAGTGACTTGTGTATTAGAGCATAATGCTTGTGTACTATCTTTTCTGCACATGGTCGTTGCTTGAATTGAAAAGGGCTAGAGCTTAACTTTACTTTTTTCGTTGTTTTTTTAAGGAAAATTTTAAAGTACTTCAGCATACGGCTTCATCATGGTGGAATTTTATTTCGAAAGATGAGAAATTTTGCGTATTAACATGGGGAAATAAGTTATATAGACTATATTGACCTTGAATTCTTCAATAAATTTCTTTTGGACAATGCTGTGAAGATGTTAGGATATTCTGATAGAATTAGATATCTGTACAAGATTGAGAAGAAAAGAATGAGTGAAGCTTCATTTTGGCTGATTAAAGACTCAAATTTCATGAACTTAGTGAAGTGGCTTGGTGATAATAGGATAACTGAACTGTATTGCTTGCCTATAGTTAAGGTTTTGGAGTTGCCTTGGGATGAAATAGAATAAAAAGATGTTCAAGTATTTGATTGTGAGACTGGTGAGGAGTTTGTGAAGGTTCAAAACTCTGGAAAACATGATTAAGCATTGAATGAGCAGTAACCATGCTATGCTGTTAAGATTTTTGACAAATCAGTAGAAGGCGATGACTTGTACGTAGTTGATGAAGTGGATGACATGGAAGCAGATAAAAAGGAAGTTATCCTTATAAGTGATGACGTCGAAGATGTTACAGTGCATGAAACAGAGCATGAGTATACAGAGGTTGATTTTATATGGGCTGAAGTAGACTCACATGAACCAGAAGTGCATGCTGCTGAACCAGAGAAACCACATGATGTTGAACCACAGTTGAGGTCTGAACATGAGTTGCATGACGTCGAAGCAGAGCTGCAGGCTGCAGAAACTAATGTGCATGCTTTTAAACCACAACAGCAGGCTCAGCATGAGGTGCAGGACGCTGAGCATGAGTTGCATGATACCGAACCAGAGATGCAAGCTGCTGAAACTGATGTGCATGCTTCTGAACCAGAGCAGCAGGCTGAGCATGAGGTGCAGGCTACTGAGCATGAATTGCATGATGCTGAACCAGAGGTGCGAGCTGCTGAAACTGATGTGGAGCTTGATGAACCTCATGTTGATGTACAGGCTACTGAAACAGGTGTGGAGCATGATGATCCCGAGCAGGATGATGAATATGAGGAGGGTATTTTGGAAGAGGAATTTAATGACTCGGAGTACGAGCAGGAGAAAATATTGCTGTGGATGATAAAGATGAAAACACATATTTCAGGTTGAGTGAAGGTTTTGACATTGGTGTAAGGGATGAGCAGGAAGAAGTAAGGATGAGCGGGAAGGTGAGGCAGCTGCTGGGGAAGAAGCTGGAACAGACTATGAAGACTCCAATGAGCTTAGAAGCTTACCCAATGATACGGAGGCTGAGGGATCATCTGCCAGAAGCAAGAAGGTGTGCTGGTTTAACCCTGCAACTGATATGGATGATCCACAGTTCAAGCTAGATAATGCATTTGTTTTGTTTAACACGTACATTGTTCTCTCGATTGAAGAAATTTATGATAGTACGCTATGTTCATTTCTGCCAAAGATGAAATTCGACAACATCAAGATTCTAAGGAATGTAGTAGTTTAATACTCAATCAAAAATTTCAGGCAACTGAGACACGTGAAAAATATGAGGACACAGTTGAGAATTCGATGTCAAGATAATTGCCCTTGGGTTCTGTATGCGTACCAACAACCCAACAAGAGCTTTAGAATTAACATAATGGTAGATGAGTACACATGTACCATGGTGTGGCAAAATAAAATGGTTAATTCAGGTTTTCTAGCTAAGAAATACGTAAGAAAAATTAGGTCTGATCCCAATGTTCCAATGAGTAGTTTTATGGAGATTGTGAAAGAGAACTGTATGTATGAGATTTCAAAACATCAGTTCTATAGGAAAAAGATTGAAATGTGTAGAAATTACTAATGGGATTGTAGTTGAGCAGTACAAAATTTTATGGGATTATAGTCAGGAATTGAAGAGAACAAATCCAGGCAGTACAGTCCAGATCGAAGGTTCGGGTCAAACTTTTAAGAGATTGTACATCTGCCTAGGGGCTTGTAAGGAAGGGTTTAGGGCTGGGTACAAGCCAGTTGTTGGGTTGGATGCTTCGTAGAATTGTTGGTTCATGACATAGGGATGCACAACCCTTGAGCTTGGACATTAATTTCTGACAAACAAAAGGGTTTGGTGGATTCCATAAGTCAACACTATGAAGGAGCGGAACATAGATGTTGTGCTAAACATTTTTATAGCAAGTTCACTTTGGCACACAAAGGTCTGGCCCTTAAGAACCTATTTTGGACTGCAGTAAGGGCAACAACAGTGCGGGAGTGGATGAGTGCAATGAATGAGTTAAAAGACATAAGTGAAGAGGCTTACAACTGGTTCCTTGAAAAACCTCTTTCCCAGTGGACCAGATCCCATTTCGAAGAGTATTCGAGATGTGATATTCTTCTTAATAATTTGTGTGAGGCATTCAATTCTTCCATTGTTGTTGCTAGAGACAAGCCCATCATTTCGATACTAGAGAAAATTCGACATCAGCAAATGATAATGATGAATGCAAAAAGGGAAGCAACACAAAGGTGGGATCATGCATTTGAGCCAAGAATTGTGAAAATCATTTAGAAGGCTAAATCTGAGGCAAGGTACTTGAAGGCAAACTATGCAGGCAACCATAAATTTGAGATAAGCAACAGAGATGGTTTGAGGTGGAGCGTTGACTTGACAAAACATGCATGTGCATGCAAAAAATGGCAGCTCACTGGAATACCATGTCCCCATACAATATCAAGCATGCTTCCAAGGGATATTGACATATATGAGTACATCAACCCATGGTATAGCAAGGAAACATACCTCAAGTGTTACTCCCCAGTGATCCACCCGATGTCAGGGCCTGAACTGTAGCCAGAATTGGGAAAGCATCTTCTCAATCAACCTCAGAAGAGAAAACAGGCTAGCAGACCTAAAAAAATGAGAAAGAGGTCACAGGAAGAGCCACCTGCAGGAGTTAAGATGGGAAGGACTAGCATGAAGATGACTTGTAAAAGCTGTAGAGGGTCCGGACATAACAAAAGAAGCTATAAGGGACCACTGCCTGGTGAAGATAGTTCACAGCAACAGTCTCAACCAACCACACAAATAGAGTCCCGAGAAGATACACAGACGAGATCAGCGAAGGGGAGGAGAAAATAATATTCAATGGAAACCTCCAAGTCACAGACAAAGAAGTCCAACAATAGAGGATTGAAATCTTGAACATCATGTGGTTTCTCTTGTATAGTTACTTACTTTTTTGGGAAAATGTTGTGATTTTTTGTAAACTGAACTGGAAATATGTGCTTCCAATGCTGTTATTTTGTAGATGTAACTGGAATTTCTGATGAAATTATTGAACGTGATGAATATGTTGATGTCGAATTTCTTGCATTATGTTTTTGCTGGTTGTTAGTTTCTGAAATTGTATTCGTAAGATTTGATGTGTAGGCGATTAGGAAATATATGAAAACGTTTGATACTTCCTTT